TCCCAACAAGAAGAGACTCGTTTGGGGAATTATGGTGACTAAGCACGAAGGGGCTTCAACAAACTCGGATCAATTTCCGGGGATAACGAGGATCTCAGATTGAGCTGGGGGACTGAATTGCAGGATTGCTTCTTACTGTAACCTCAATCCTTACTCAATCGAAGTAACCTGCAACACTAGGAGTGATAAAGGCTCGGAAGGCATGAATTTGGTGAAAAATATAATGGTTATTTATTGTCTTGATGAAGTGAATAAGAAATGATACACGATATTAAGAAGGTGAGTACATAAATATCAATTTGATTATTCAAAGAACAGCACGTATGAAAGAAACTCCATTAGGATCATTTTTTATTTCAACAAAGATGAAGATTTACACAGATCAAGACGTTTGGTGTTGATGCCAGTACATCTAAGTATTGAATGTTATATAGTCAAATGCATGTGTGATGAGACTGATTGTTGAAATGAAGTGTTTCTTGATAACAAAAAAAATTAACCATATGAATCTGAATATTTAATGTTAGATTTATGATTTTTATTAATAGCTCTTAAAAATATTTTTACTAATTGGGTTTTTATGTAGTAGGCAATGAAGAATGCAAGTTTTAAAATTTATTTTAATAAAATTTAAGATAATACATTAAAAATAGATTCAAAATCTTGAGTCAATATAGTGAATTCAGCATGAATATTTATAAGATATTAAACATTTTAAACTTATCATTTCATCCAAGTATCTAGCATGAAATTATTTGTAAGAATAAAAATCTTGCCTTGAACATGAATTGTAAAAAAAATACAATCAGTGTTATTTTTATTTTTACAATATCTCATGAAAACTTATATAAAATTATAATCTATCTTAAAAAAAATTGTAAGTCTTTAAAAATTTGTAAGAAAAATTATGATACAATTATATAATTTAAGGCTTGGGATGGTAGTATTTGATAATAACATTCAATAAAAACAGAATTAAAATAATGATTTCATAGTTTACATGTGAATTCACATTACAATAAATAGAAAAAATGATAACAATGTGAAAAGCTATAAAGTAATACCAAAAGTTTTGTATATTTTATTTATGCATTATCAAAATAATTTGCTATATTTATTTACTACTTTTGCATCAGATTATGAAGAATATAATATCATGAAAGTTTTCAAAATATGGCATATATAAATGATATCTTTATAGATATCATTTTTGCTAATTTTTATGTTTAATCTAGGCTTGGTCCCTATGCATTTAACAATTAAGAGAAAAAGTTAAATCTATTAACTCATTAATCCGTCCATTCAAAACTTTTGGAAAAACAGTTATGCATGCCAAGTTTATCATTTTTGAGAAGCTTGCTCTTAGAATAACCAGTTCCAACTTTTCAATTTCATCATCATCTCGATGTTTTCATTTGATAATTTTGTTTGATTTGGACAAACAAATACATCACTTTCCAAAAACGTGCATTCAGATGTCACAAAAGAAACTTGAATCATCAATGTGTACCAGGTCATACTAGATAAAATCAAAAAGTTGTTGCAATGTTGTTTCCACTATAGCAATATGTTAGACACATTATGATTTGTTTTCATCGTGAGCATGGAAAAGTCATCGACTTCAACAGTTATGATGCGTGTTCAGTGACATGATTCCCTCTCCGGTAAATAGATTGAATACACCGAAAGTTAAAAGTGGCCGCTTGTCCGATCACAAGCCATAATTCACTGTTCAAATAGATCAAATCAGGTATTTGAGTTCCGTCATTTCAATGTACGCATTGTTGGATTGAAGATTAAGAAGCAAAGCAATTTTGGCGGCTTGACAATTCAGATTGGCATTATATTTTTAGCAACTTGAGCTCCATGGCAGCAATAACCTTCTTGAGGTTAGGAGTAATGAATCTAGTGTCTAATTGTCAAGAACTGTTTTTTTTTTGCACAAAGTAAGAAGATGTTTGGAGATCAAGAGTTGGATAGAGAGTGAAACGTAGCCACGTTTCACTCTCTATCAATCGAAAATGCAATGGTATGCAAATTGCAAATAGTGATTTGAAAACACATTAGTCCATGTTGAACAAAACCATATTGGTCAATGGATCATAGAATTCTTTGGAATTGCAGAGTGCTAAAAATACATTACAATACTGAAAGAACATGTCGATCATGATGAACATGAAATTCCACTGCGTTTTCACATTTTAGATTGTAACTTCAACACAATCTTTGGTAACACAATAGTCAATTTTAAAAACTTGATGCAGATAGCAACACATCCACAAATAACCTTGAGTATTTGACAGAGCAATTGCACTTACTTTTTGATGAAATATGTAGCATCACATACAACACGATTGATGACGTGACTAACGCTTTGGATATGAAATTTGTTCTTCAAACGAAGGAAGTATTGATTATTCAGATTATGTGGCACAATGATCATGGCGACTAACAAATCTGCGCCGATGTTCGATGCAATTGCCTTGATCTTGGTAGACATGTTGAAATACTTCAAAAAAAAAGTATCAAGTTCAACACAAATGCGCTAATAGTGTGAAAAGTACATAATTCCAACACAACTATTAAAGTTTTTTCTCTTGATCAATCCAATGCATGGTGTTCGTCATATAGTCACGCATCACGAAAAAATGCCAACAATCCATAGTGAGAGCAATTGTTTCTTTGATTGAATATATAATTGAACAAAATGTCAACAATGATCATTCAAAATGATCACATAATGAGCATGTTAGAGTTTACCGCGATGGTAGTGAGTAATGAGAATTGAGGCGTCAGCAAAACAATTGGAACGTCTCGTTCTCGACAAGGTTGAATGAATGTTCGTGATCTACCACAAGAGCAACCATGTCATTCAAAATGGCTTTTTTGAACTCATTATTCAACTCATACAGATCTTGAAGTTCATCATTTGCTCCAAAAAGTGTATGTAGAGTATTGGCCAATTCTTGACCTTTCGACATCTTGTGTTTTACCAGCAGATGACGAGACAATGTGCTTGTTCCAATCTTGGTCAAGAATGGTGCATTACATAGACCGTTATGAACGTGTGAATTCCAGGCAAATGATCTTGGATTGATTAGAATCTTTCATCAATTTAAAATGATTTCAAACCCAACTTGCAGACAATTTTGCCTTTCGCTTTCGCCCGGTGGATGTTGACGCTGTTTGACTAGAGACTACGAAAAACTCTCCCTCTGTACTACGCGATGAAAATGATTTCAAATTGATAATGGGATCGGTCATGCTGCTGTTGTTTGATTGCTCAACAGACGACAACGACGGATGAAAATTGTGATTTGTGACAACTTGACATACTTGCGACAACCCGTCGCAAATAAGAAAAATATTAGCGATGGATGCTCAAAAATCTTGATTTGCCATCTCAGCGTTAACGTTCTAGAAATGATGAAAGATAACTATTGGTTATTCTTTAGTTCGAGAACATTATTGTTGATAGTAACATTAACGCTGAGTTAAGGCAATATGGTTACTAACCATATTGAGTCAGCTCAACCTACTCTCTTAGCTCAAGACAATCATAACTCGATTGTCTTCATAATGAAAACGGTGAACTACTCTAAGATGAAACACATCCGCAATACTATACATTTGTAAAAACACTCTCAATCATTTATGAAATGTACATTAGTCTCGATGACGAAATGGATAAATTAGTCTCGGATGACAAAATGAGTACCGACTAAAGGATTGTAGGGAAAATTGAGATTGGTTAAACCAGACCGACGGTTAAGCGATTAATCATCAATCCTGACAGAACCGTGGCTAAGCCTAGCTTAATCTACTACATTTTTTTGAGAAATTGAACATAACACATCTTGCTGAATTTTCCTCGTGGAAGTAATGTGAACTTATTAATGACATTTCCAATATCACAAATATTAGATGCGTATTTATCATCTCCATTGAAACCTCTGAGAAATAACTGTCCATATAAGGTACACATCCGATTAAGGAGAGAAATTTTTGTAGAAAAAATAATCCCGTCTACTCATAATAAAAAACTCTTTATAAGAAGTGCACCTCGGTTAGTTACTATAAGTATAGCATGAGAGGGCCACGGAGTATCCATGCAAGTCTATATTAGGTACATTTCTTCTATCTCATTGGTTTTGAATCATGGAGTTTGAAGAACCCGAGGAAAAAAGCGCAAGTTTGTCAATGTAAAGACAAAACTATCCATCTTCAAGCATCTTGATGAAGGTTACAACATCCAGGCAACTGCAACAAAGTTCAATTTGTTGAAAGTAACAGTTCAAGCCGCTAAACAAAACATAGAGCTGTTGTTCAAGAAGGGAAAAAGCAATCTCTGGGAATGGATGGCATCAACCAAAAGTCTCTCAAAACATTAAATATGCAAAAATGTCACCCTTTTGTTAATCTAGACATGGGTTATATATTGCTGTAGACTCCCACTTATATTGGAAAGGGAACCCCAAAATCTACCATACCATGAGACATGGTTATCAGTTTTTGTAGGCAGGACACGCCCATTACACAATCAGGATGTGGCAACCAACGGATTCGCAACAATTCTTTATATGCTAAACGTACATAGCTTGATTTAAAAAAGATTGATATCCTGGATGCGATAGTATATACTATCCATTGTGATGCACTTGGTGCCTAAATCCATCTCGCATCGCAATTTCAGACTCATACGACGTGAAGAGGTATTGCCATCGTGTTTGCTATCAAACTCACTCTTAAGAAATAGAATCTCACAAACATACTAGGAGTTAAAATCTATGCGGTGTATCACACAGGGAAGTGTTTGTACCGTTGCTGGTGCTCGAGGATTTCCGGTCTCTGCTCTAATCCACGGGGAAGCTCCCGTTTGGTGAGAAGGTTCCAGGCGAACGCTGGCAAGTGGGAGAAAATGGAGCAGTGGTCTAGTCATCGAAGAGGAGGCAAACTCGGGCCCTGAACGAGTCACTCACGAAGAACAATATCCAAAGGACAGGACTGAACGAATTGTGGTGCCGTAAATGCTTGAGCGTCCTTGCGACACGTGTCCAAAAGGGAGGCTGACGAGGGAGTCGAGAAGATTTTCTCGTCGTCGTGACGAGCACAGGACGAAGAAAATCAGCAGAAGCAGAGGAAAAACGCTCTCGAGTCTCTGCTGTCAGCGGAATATGAGTTAGTGTCTGTCTGTATGTGAGGGCGATTCGCTCCTGCTTCCATCTTCCACTTTGCTCCCGTGATGTCTGAGACTGAGTTCGGTGTATAAACGAGTTGAATAATACAGTCTTCCTTTTGAACTTCTTCGTAGACTAACGACGATGATGGCCTTGGACGCTGCTGTTGCCGCGGTCGGATTGTCCCCTGCTGCTGCTGCGCTCTCGTCTGTTTGTTCTGCTCCCTCTTGTGCGAAATTCGGCTCGGCTAGTACCAGTACTTTCATTCGTGGAAGTAGTTCCGTTTTGAATAGGCTGTGCCTGGAATCTCCCCCTCCTCTTGCTCCTCGTCGTCGTGAGCATGGTGTAGCTGCGCGTGCCCAGAGCGGAAGGGTAAATGCGGCTGTGGTGGTGGCCGAACCTCCGAAGTTGTCGAAGGTTGAGAAGTGGAACGGATCGAAAAGGCTCCAGACACAAGTGGCACCCGTAGCGCAGGATGTTAAAACCATTCGCTCTCTCGACTGGGACCGCGATCGTTTTGATATGTGAGCCCTCCTCTGCTTTAAGGGAATAAAAAAAATTCTGACTGTCTCTTCTGTAGTTCGTTGCAGTCTCTGGTCCGAGATTATGTTCTGTTATTTCATATGCGGGGTTGGGGTTGGGGTTGGGGTTGAACATGAGTTGAACGAGTGATCGTCTTCTTGCAGTGAGTTCGGACTTTCGGACGGTACCACTTACAACTCTTACATCATCGAAGGCGATAAGTTGGCAATTGTGGACGCTTCTCACGAGAAATTCAGGGATCTCTATCTGTCAACAATTAAAGATCAGATCGATGTGAGCACCATAGATTATATTATAGCGAATCACACAGAACCTGATCACAGTGGACTGATTCCGGATCTGCTGGAGTTGGCTCCCAATGCCAAGGTGGTTGGCTCGAAAGTGTGTATCCAGTTTCTACAGAACCTCGTCCTTCGGCCCTTCGAAAGCATCGTCATGAAGGTACGCTCATCGTCATGCGGTTTCTTCCCATACCAGAATTCGATTCTCGTCCGCTCGATCGTTTGAAGTCTGCTGAAACAGTTGCTTCTTTCCGATTGTAGGGAGGAGACACGCTTGATCTGGGCAAAGGTCATGTGCTCGAGTTTGTCATGGCACCCAACCTGCACTGGCCAGACACCATGTTCACCTTTGACAGGGGAGCAGGAATTCTCTTCACCTGCGATGCCTTCGGAATGCACTACTGCTCGGAAGCGGTACCGCCCTCTCAGCCCTACTTCAATAACTGCTTTGTAGACGTGCTTCCACAATCCTGAAGAAGAAGAAGAAGAGGAAGTATCATCTGAAGGATGATTCTTCTTCTGCTTCTTCTTCTTTTCTCTATAGATGTTGTTTATTGTTTCACTGATCTTTCGTAGAGTTTGGTTGAATGCAGGTGTACGACGAGGAGGTCCTCAACCTGGTGCCCCACTACAGGTTCTATTACGACTGTCTGATGCGACCGAACGCAAGGTCGGTCATCCAAGCCTTGAAACGAGTGGGATCCATGGACTTCGGGATCATCGCAACCGGACATGGACCTCTCCTCCGATACAACGTTCCCGACATGGTGAGCAAGTATGAGGGATGGAGCAGGCAGGCGTTGGAAAAGCAGCTGGCTAGTGTTGCAGTACTTTACGTGTCCGATTACGGTTTCAGCGATCGACTTTCGCAGGTGAGGGTCCAGGTTCTTTTGCTCTAACGATGAAATGATGACAGTGTGCTTCAGGCTTGTTCTTCTCTCCTCCTCCTTCTCTGAACCACGATTCGTGTGAATTTTCTCACATTGTCATAAACCTCTTCATCCTTCAACTTGCATTATTCTCCTTCGTTTGTAATCTGAGTTTTTCAACATCATAAGCGCGCTTGGCGACGACAACACCCTGCTGGTAAGGAGTTGTCATGTCTCATTTTCAGACTAGTAAGAAACTTCTCTCAAGGATATGTAAGTTGCCACTTTGGAGGAGACCCAGAGGAAGTGCAGAGCAAATTGTCAGTAAAGTGAACAGATTGAGGAAAGTGTTGTGAGGAAGTTTGTCTTCCCTACGGCGTTGTCTGTAGGCTCGAGAATGTAACAAACCTGTGAAAGGGCTTAGCCATCCATGCAGATGGCTGGCTATTAAGCCATTCTCGTCGGTTAGATCTTTTATGAGAGACTAGAATTTCGCGTTGGCGAACAGGAGCTCCTGACTGACTTGAGATCCAATTAAGAATACTATTCTTCTCTATTGATGCTGTGTGTATTATATATGGATTCAAACATAGGAAGTGTGGAGAAGCGGCCCTTTCGAAAATGTCAGCTTCTCATGAAAAGTAAATCTGCACGACAATTAAGTTACCGCAACCACTAAAAGTCCTGAGACTACTCCTTTGGTCGGTCACGCGGTTGAAGCTCTTGAAACACTAAAGTCTTGAAGTTTTGAATTCGTTGGAGAATGTTCGGAGATCAGGTGCCGATTCCATACCAGCTCCAAAGTCTGTGTCTTGATTTCTGACCGCTGAACATGGCAGGCTCTTGCAAGAGGCTTGACGAAGACAAACTGCGGAGTGGAGATGATGGACTTAAATCACGCAGATTCACAGGAGCTGATAGAATGCGTTGGGAGAAGCGGTGCAGTTGTGATCATGGCTCCTCCGAGTTCTGGCCCTGCGAACAAGTCCGTGACTACGCTTTTTGCTGCCGTTAAGCCTGGGAAGCAGGTACCATGATTTGTGGTCGATCAGTGTCTATTGTGCTGGTTTGCTTTGCATATGCAGCTGCCTGCCCACTGCCTCCCGATGAACCTACTGACACTCATTAAGTGCAGCCTCTTTTGATCGCTGAAAGTTACGGTGGTGACGACGAGCCTGTCGACACTATATTCCAGCGCTTCTTGGCTCTTGGTGTCAGTGCTCCTCTCCCTCCCTTGCGGGTCAAAGGAGAGCCAACAGAGGCAACGTAAGACACATCACAGCCGCAACCTTGTTCTCGAAACTTTTGGACGTTCAAAGTTTACGATGCGCAGGCGAAGTTTGCCCAGCGGAGTATTCCAGAGCAACGGTGTTTGTCATTAGCCCCGTTTATCCGTTGGCCAGCTTACATTTTCAGTTGCTCCAACATGTGCAGGTACCAGTTTTATGAGGAAGCAGGCACGGATTTGGGTCAACTCTTGACACAAAAGAAGGCAATCGCCGAGAAAAAAGCCAACTTACCCATGGACGTGGCTACAGCCATAGCTCGTGTGTCAGGCGGTCTCTACGTCGTCACTGCTTTCAAGGGAGCATCACGAGGTGCTATGATTGCCTCTTGGGTGTCCCAGGTATGCACATGTCCCTAACCAGGTAGTCCAGTGTTTGTTGTTGCACAAGCCCAGGTCAGCATAGACACACACACTCACTCACTCAAAGTTGTGCAAGTCCAATGTGAATCTGATATCTGGACACTCATTCGTAGTCCTTATCCATGTCCTTGCAGGCGAGTTTCAAGCCCCTCGGTATCACCATCGCAGTGGCGAAAGATCGTGCCATCGAATCGCTCATGCAGGTGAGTGAGTTCAGCATTTCCGTTGGGCCAAGCCTTTAAGGGACGCTACACAGGCTTCAGCGCTTGTCGATCTGTGTGAGAAGTGCCATGCTGACAGGGCGACGCAATCGGTGCTTACAGGTCGGCGACTCGTTCGTGCTGAATTGTCTAGAGGAAGGAAACTTTGCGCCTCTGATGAAGCATTTTCTGAAGCGGTTCCCGCCAGGAGGTACGTGCACCGTGAGAACCACGTGGCTCTCACCTTGTCGAGGAGTGACTGATGTGTCCGGAATGTCGTCGAGTTTCTGTGTCCTGTGAATTGTCCGTCCTCATACTGAAGTCGATTGGACTCGTTGCTGTTCCACAGCTGACAGGTTTGAAGGTGTCGACTGGACACCGGCAACGAATGGTTCTCCGGTACTCAAGAACGGCATCGCGTACATGGAGTGCACGGTACAAAGCCGCATGGAGACACCGGATCACTGGATCACCTACGCCGAAGTCACCAACGGCAACGTTCTCAAGCCCGAAGGGAAAACCGCTGCACACCATCGCAAAGTAGGAAATTACTACTAGTGTAAATCCAGACAAGCTGTAATTGTACTTCTGCAATCCTGCACTCATCCCGATCCGTGTACCCGACCTGGAAGTGCAACATTGTGTGTAAATTTCGCGTAGTTCTCAGATCTAAATGTTTCTCCTTTTCTCCCCATTTCGTCTCACAATGGCTGCGTTGTCCGCTCACAGAGTCTGGCACTGCTTACTTCATTGAGCAGTGTGGCAGTCCACTTGGCACTATGAAGGCTGACGTGCCGTCCAGGTGCTAGGCCGGCGTCATATTCACATTCTGCCAAGAAGTCATGTTCGGCTGAAAATTGTGCGCTGGGTTGACTCTCAACGCCCTGTCAGTTGGACATATTGTAATTTTACATTGTGAGCATATGATTATCAAGTCGGATGTGGCCTAACTCTTAAGCGTAATGAATCAAACCGTGAGTAATGATGCTGTCAAATATTACTTTTATTTGTGGGAATGTTGTCAAGACTCTTATTACATGTATTTCACTTCAAAACTGAGTATTATGTATTAATTTATTCTTGTAACAAATATGTAGGTAATTTAAAGGTATTCCAGGTTGACTACTAGTCAAAGCAAATACCAGATGATCATGTCATTGCAAAATGAATACCACAAAGAAGATGCAATAGACATGAGTGTGCGGGGTGGGGTGGGGTGGGGTGGGGTGGGGGGAGGGGTGCATTTTATATCTGTTATAGTAAGATTCCATTATCCACTGTAGAAACTGTTGATTTTGAGTGGAAGGCTACTGAGTACAAGTCAAGGGGCATGCAAGCAGATTGACATCTGTGTAGGTTGTACATAGCTATGTATACCGTTTAGACAGTAGAAGTAAAATCGAGGCCTCTCCAAACACCTTCCTGGGCAGGTTGGATGAAGTTGTCAGATTCTGTTGATCACGGGCATGGCTTCTATAAACAATGTGAAGATGACGACAACGTCTTTATCTGCAAAGGCGAAACAGATTCATTTTTCCTGATAAAACTGTGTGGCATTTTCTTGGCGAGATCATCACATGAAGACCAAAGTTGCCGTCTTCCAAATATTTGCATCTGACAATTTCACATGATTCTTCAAAGCCTGAAGAACGGATTGCAACCTTGAAGACGACCAGAAGGTAGGGTCAACGTAAATCGCGACTGGGGAAAGTGACTTTTATGGATGGACATGATTACTTAATTTTGACAGTCTGTACATATCCCTCTTTTGCTATACTTGGATGGAAATTTTCGACATTTTTAGCGCGAAGCATATCCTATAGGCATTGGACACTGTGTGATCAACTGATTTAGATTTGTTTCAGTTTAGATTTTAGTTTCCTTGGGAATTCCGAGTAGTTCGATTGTAAATTCATACCAAAAACAAGATACTCGTTGAAAGGTAACATCTATTTCAAAGTTCTGTTGAAGATTGTATCATATACTGACCAAAGATCAATGAGTAGCTTTGTGACATATATGATGCAGTGATATATGATTAATAGTAATCATATAAACATTGATTATATTCAGTAGTGCGTTACAGCACACTACTCTATGAGACCTGATCTGACGTGAAATTTACTTTTTCACCCTTGTAGATAAAAAATTCTGGTGAATTATTCGTAATTGGAATACTTATAGTATTTTCAGACGATAACCTCGACCATAGTTATTTTAGGGGTCACATAAATTACGGTGATTACTTTGCTGATCATTTCGCGTAGATCGATGGGACTGTGTGAATGAGTCGCATTCCAATCGAAACTTCTTATGATACTTTCCAATAGTATATTATCATGTTCACATTGATTCCATTATTTTACCAGTGAGGTTTATGAGAAGACTAGGCATAGACAAGACATGCTTTCAATTTAAAATCTAAACTGCACGCACATCAAAAGGAATCTCACTGATGAGCCTACTGATGATCCTATAGATGCGCTAGCTTGCTTTTTTATTCACTACTTACACAATGTTGTAATTTGACAACAACACTGAAAAAATCATAACTAGGCTGTGTCAATCAATCAATCACAAAGGCTAAACGATGTTAGATTTGGGAGATTATAAGCATGTGTTAATTGGACTGCAATAGGAGTTTTTAAAATCTACACATGAATATATTTAGACACATGCATACACTTTTTCATCGTTGAGCGTGACTCTTAACGTTCAATCACGTGATATGTAAGCATAGAAGAAGCTGGGTGGGATTGTGAACACCCTCACACCCTCAAGAAACTATCCACTCTTTACATATTTCACACCTGTCATGACTTCACTGAATTATCATACGTAAAGCATTTGTCTCAAGATGAAATTTTCTATTTCCAATCAGCCAACTGTTAAATGTTAGTCGGTTTGCTCTTGTGATTTGTTCGCTCCATCTAATCTATAAAGTATTATTTAATAATATATAAGTGTGAACACTTATTTCTTTGTAGTCACTCTCAATACCTCACCTATCCTCCAAATGTTATGACCGGTCTACCATTGAGATACATATGAATGAAATGAATGGAAGGAAATTTCACTTACATAAACTATTCCAACATATGGGAGATAAATTTTCCATAAGATTCCAGATAAGCTTTACTCCCATCCATTGGAATAAGTACATTAAATATATCCTGAAGTACAGACAATTTAAACTTTGCTATTTCTATACATGGACGTGATCTATTTATTTTTACTATGGGAGCTCTTGCTATTTTTGGGTGGAAAAGGTGAAAGCTTGTGAATCTTATCTTAACCAAACATTCCAACTTTCTGATTCGAACCAATCTAATTCTTAATCAACCATTTTCCATCCCTTGACTTGATCCACTCATGGAAGAGTTTAAACCATATTGTTGTAGACGATCAACGTCTCAAATGTCGAGATACTAGCTAGGTACAGATTGTACTTTGAGCTCGGGTAACATGTCCCATTCCCTAGAACAAGATGCAATTTCAATCAGGACAAATATGTGATGCACTTTTTCGCACGAATGCAGTTGTGTGCTTGTTCAAACCACGCAGTCGAAAACCGTCTGCTTAAGTATACTTACCCGTGTTTATCTACATGGTGCACAAAGAACAGACTCTTTTCGAATCAACATTGATGACAGTGAAATTTGCATGATAGGATATTAAACTCAACATGACTTCTCCGATCTTTGTTAGTATATCTTCAAGTTCCTTGACTCTTACCCTCTTTCATGAAAGCCACCGATGTAGACAAAACATGACCTTCAGTTGATGGAATTCCCGTCTGCCCCGATTCAACTTGTCACGTAACATGCGTAAGACCCATTCAGGCAGGTAACGGCGACTTGTCCATACAGGACAATCGAACTCATTTCATCCAACCGCTGGATACAAATTCTCATGTGACTATATTATATTGTTTATGGCTGGCTCTCCACGTGGCCAGAACATTTAGCTGCGGAAAGTTTCAGGAGCATGATCGATCCCATGTAAGATGGACAAAAGTGCAAAAAGCAAAAAGCCTGCATGTTGCTGGTGCCCAACAAGTTAGCTTATGTCGAGTGCTTTCCACGGCTGCAACCAAACACAAAAAAAAAGACTTTGACTAGCAACTGGTGACCAGCGACGGTATGACCTTCACTCAGCGTGTGTAAACACGCCAGATCCATCTTCAATCAATATGTCGACCATGTCAACTGACTGTTCATGGCAACACTCGAAAGAGAGATCAATCACCTGTCGCGATCCGACCCCTAAGACAGCAGATCTGTGCAGTCTTCCTGAGGACAACAGCACAAGTCATCTTTGTGTGAAAAGTAAAAGTGCAAGATAACTGCGGGATGCAAATCGTACACGCATCTCCAGTCTGTAATTCCTTCTATAGCTACTTAAATTTTGTGTACTGCCTCTCATAGACCTCGCTATTTACAGCAAATCAGGACTTTGATACAGCTAAAATGACTACTACAGAACAAAGCCATAAAGAAGCGAATATATCAAAAATCGTTCCAATTTTACAATCTGCGTGAAATGATACGAGAGAAACAATAAGTTTCGATACAAAAACAAATCTTAGGGCATCCACAACTGGATGTATCCAAAGAGAACGTGAAAATGTTTCTGCTTCAGAATCCATGACAGAGGAACTGTACAGACAATTACAGCGTGATACAGAGTAGTAAGGTAGCAAAAGATCCTACGCGCTGGTGTCACTTGATAGTTTGCAAACCTATGGGTTTCACTATTCACGATCAAACGAAATATAATCTCCTTCTGTGACTGGACAACGATCCAATGTGGACCGTTCCCATGCTTAGCTATTAGCTACAACAATGATGAGTGTGATTTCAGCCTATCGAGATACATGCATGAAGAATTGAGGGTCACATGACCAGAATGCTGCTGCTGATGCAGTCATAAAATCAATGATCGCTCTTTGCTTGTCTTTAGATGAAACTCACCCAATCTAGACTTGTGGAATCAGAAGTTGATTATACCTGGCTCATGTTCGATGTGCTTAGTGTGTAGAAGAATGCTCACTTTCAAGTCATGAAGCGACGAAAGACGACTCTACATTGAAATATGAACAAATAAGACTTGGGTGGTATCTGGCTCGAGTTTAGTAAGGAATAATTGGAGCGAAACAGGTTGGGTACAACTGGATCGGTCATGCTATGAAACAACACGCGCAGTCATCCGGCACATGAGCTCGTCCTTTGGGGATATAGTAGGGGTGTAGAGCAAATCATCGCAGCCAGGAGTCCGCAGGCGCTCCATATCGACGAGAGTAGTAAACAACGCGACGAAGAGAGTGAGATGATTCAATGCGTAGCGTTGCCCCACGCACTGATGAGGGCCGGCTCCGAACAGCAGCCAGTTGCGCTTGTACAGCACATCCTCCTGTCTTTCAAGCGAGAACCTATCAGGATCGAATTTGTAGGGATCCGTGAAGCCTTGAAACGACGATTCCAACAACGATGGAAACACAATAGTGCCCTTGGGAACCTTGTAGGTGTCAGTGATGGCAAAGTCCGTGCTCGCAATGTGCGGGACCATTGGAGCAGGAGGTCGAATCCTCAACACCTCTTTGACAACCATTGTCGTGAATTCCATCTCCTTCAGCATCTCCGGGGTAACGGGAGCCGTGACATCTGGCCTGACGCGTCTCTGCTCATCCCTCACTCTCTGCAGAATTTCCGGATGCGAGTCTAAAAACGCGCAGGACCACGCCAAAGACGAAGTGGAGGCATCTTGAGCAGCGAAAAGGAAGTCGAAAATGAGGGCGCCTATTTCCCAGTCGCTGCTGTGTCCAGGAGGAGGTCCTCCAGCAGCCTCCGCCTCCTGAATCTCCCTCAGAGTTTCCTGTACAAGAAAGTCTATGAGGCAAGAAGGCTCTTCTCCCTGTATCATCCTCTCTCTGCTCATGCGAGAACAGTTGGACAAGGCTTTGATAAGGCGCGGGACTGCTTTGGTAGCTTCGTGGTATGCAAAGCCAGGAAGATTCACGGGGAAGCTCATCAGCCCTGTATTGAAAAAATTGTAATCCTTTTTGAATTGCACGCGCGCCGCTTCATCCAGGTAAGGCCCGACGAAGGTAGCCTGTGATGTCTCCAAGTTGAGGTCTCTAAGAAGTAGCCGCATGGTCATTGGACCGGCCTTGTGCATCTCTAACCATTGCGCGATGTGCTTTCGAATCATGCGCTCTTGAATGGACACATATACGCCGAGAGCTTTGTAAGTAAAATTGGGAGCTAGCCTGCGTCGCAAGTCGCGGTGCTCATCGCCAAACATAAATATCAGATTGTCCTCGCCAAATAGCTTCTTCCCGAACGGATGCCCGACTAGATGGAATACATCGGGTTTCACGTTAGCGAAGATTTTCTGTGACATCTCCGAATCTCTCACAAAAAGCACGAATCTGCCAAATAGAACGTTCCATGAGAGCCCGACTTTAGTGGCGGCCTTCGCCTGGTCATCCCAGAACTTAGTCGGATCTTTGACCATTCGAAATACATCTCCCAGAAACGGTACCACAAACTTGGGTCCCGGCAGGTGTTTTCCTTTCCATATGTATGACAGCTGCTCGTATACCAACCAAATCGCCAAGGCCACCCCTACTACGAGCTGCCATTCTGCCCACCAGCTGCTACTTGCCCTCGGGGCCCCGAATTCCATCCCTCCCGTCTCCATCACCTCCCTCCGAACCGCTGTCTAGTCAATCGTTGTCCTTCTTTCTTTTCTACCTCTCAATCTCTTGAGCCAGCCCGCCTGATGTCGTCGAAGGTTAAGCTTCGGAGCGAGGCAGAAGTTGCCACTTGCTCGCTCGCTCGCTCGCGTGACCAGGGCATAGCAAAGAGTCGCTGCTGATCCTCGCAGACAGACGAGGACCTGAACGAGCGAGGGACTTATTTAAGGGCCGGGCTGCGATTCCCACAGCCAGCGCTGCTCGAGAGGCGTCTCCGGCCCTGCTCCGCAGCGGGTGGCGCTCCGCGAGTCTGCGATGGACGGGCGCACGCGAGCGAAAATTTAAAGAGCGAGAGCCCGCCCGCCACAGCGCTCGGGGACCGGAAGGCTGGGGAGGATGACGCAGGCGCCCTCTGGCGCCGAGGTGGCTGTCGGACGCTGACGATGCAGAATGTGAATGTGCACTGGCCGGAGAAGAAGCGCGGCTGCATTGTTAGCTGGATAGAAGCCGAGAGAAGGAATCGTGGACCCTCGGGCCCGAGCCGAGCTCTGAGAATGTGCGCTCTCGCCTACAGCTCAGACGGAGCTCAGGCGCGCTGGAGCAAAAGCTGGCGCCAAACCTCGTCGCCCCGACCCTCCGGTAAATTTAGGCGAGGGCCAGCCCCGGCCCACCTCCAGCTCCTTCTAGACTCGCTGACTGTGTACGCCTCCTCCGTCCATGTTCGCCAGGGGACGTTGCTGCTCTCTCTCCGCTCGACAGCGGTGCACTTCCGTCTTTCTCTGTCACCATCCGACCCTGGCGCGCCAGGAAGCCTCCAGAAGCAGCCCGCTCCATGCGCTGGGAGACTGAAGCAGCAGCAGGAGCGCTGTAAGAAGGAGCGAACGGGGCGGGACGAATTCCGCTAAACTCCAAGCGCGTCTTCCGTCGCGTCGCTGCTGCATGCGCTCCTTCCGTCGTCCCTTGCCGTGGTGGACTGTCCAGTGGACCGACCGCGAACCGTGTCGGGATCGAACGGAAGGCGCTGGCCTTTTCCTATTGCCAGTTTGGCTACTGCCCGGTTGCAACCCGTCGAGCGAAGAAGCATGCGCCTCTTCCTCGCTTCGGAGTCCGGTCCGCTCTACGCCCTCGATGGTCGCCGCTACCTCGACCTGCGGCTGACTCGCTCGTCCATCGAGTCAGAAGCCGACGACCGCTGACGTTCTCACATTGCTCGTTCGCCTACCCACGTTTAAAAAGGCAAATCCTGTGTCCGCTTGTGGCGAGAGCAGCAGTGTGCAGTCAAGTAATTGTGGACTCTCAACCTTCTGTGCCCTTCCTTCCTTCCTGTCTGCCATTCTCCACATTTCCGATCTCCACTTTGCGAGTAGTCTCCGAATCCACCCGATGGCGGCCGTAGGACGCGTGTCAGAATTTTCTCAATTTGGCTTCTTCGGTTGGCTCTGGGATCTCTGTTGGTGAGATATGTCATTCATTGCTCATGCTTCCAGGGCGATATTGCACTTTTTTGGCTATGAAAAGCTCCTAGTATTTTGGTTCTCATATTCACATCGTCTAACCTTTCTAAATTTAATTTCTATAATTTAAATATTCCACTTTGACTTTTCATACATAGAAGACTTTCCATTACTCAAACGTGATAATTCGTTATATCTAGTGCCTGTTGAGGCTCAAAGCATGGATATCCATGATGAACATAGACACATATGTTTGCTTGGAAAAAAGCGTTAGATGCTGTGTTATCAACTCGGGCTAAAGTACGCATATATTGAGTATATCGAAGAAATATTATCACATATATAACAAAAATGATTAATAAAATTTCTGTTCAATCAGATTGATGCTAATGGTGCCGCAACTAGTACAGAGATATCCTGAGTTATTTCTCCAGCCGAAAAATTCTACGGAGCCATAAACTCAGCTGCATAGATGAATGTTGTCATCTCATGACACTTTAGCATAATGTATATTTCAAGTATGCAATTCAAGTTTTTCATGTGACTTCATGCACACACTTTAGAGTAAAAAACATAATTGTTAAGACAAAAGCCGGGACATGTGTTAACGCAGAGCAGCTAAAAACTAGGATCGAAGAAAGGATGTCACGCAAATTATCCACTAGTGCGATGTCTCATCGCCCCAAGCCTCAGCGACAGCTCAAAAAGCAAATGCCCGTCTGTAATTGATGGGATAGGATCTTCTGATCTACACCGAAAGGTGGCAGACTTGAGCATGGGTGAGCTAGGTTAGAAAATCCTGAAATCCTAATATTGTCACTGGTTGCTTCTCTAAGAACATATTTATTGACATGCCCTGATGAGAACAAGGTCAATTCTTTTTAATCCCCAAAAATTATGTTAAATCGTTGCTCAAGAATTTTCAAGAACACGATATGCCTATCGGGTCTTCGTGTGCGCCATAAAGCTATTTCCGGGCTTCGTACCCTGCAATGCCAAAAAAGCACCTCAAGTCCAGAAGAGTCCAAGTCTGGTCATTGTCCGCCTTATTGATGTGCTTAAAATGCAATTTATTATGTAAGTGCAGTTTGTATCGCTAAAGCCATATATTAAACATAATCAGATTATACTTATATATCTTACCTCCCTGACTCCTGTATTCTATCATACTATTCCCCTTTTCTCGTTGCTTTTACATATCATTAATACGAATTTATTTATTTTCCCTGGATTCATTATGCTCAATTTCGTTAGATCTCCAATATTCAATGTTAGAACAAAACTGGAACTTACAGAGTTAACAGCTAAATATGTAACTGGTATCGCCATCGTATTAGAGGGTAACATTTTCCCTGCTTTGAAATATTTGTTTACAGCTTACGTGAGAAGATTACAAGTTTTCTAAAACTTCACCCAACCTTTTTTTCACAAGTTCATAAATCTAACAATTTGGCGTTTTAATAAATTATAAGTTGTGAGACGTGTAATCCCTCATGGTACTACCCCATTTTGTAATGTAAAAAATAGACTACAAACTTTTCCACGTTAAGTAATCATAACATCATAAACAGGCCATTTTTGTGAATATTTTTTGGAGTGTCGGTTCTTTTTTGAGGAACCCTATTGTAGCTTTTTTTGGTCTTCCGAGGGTATGAGCTAAACAAGAATGTCCGGCTAAATTTGAATTAACACTTTTGAAAGATTTATCCAACGAGGCAGGGGTTAGCAACATTTTCTATGTATGAGAGTCGTTAGCTGATCACGAAGGCAACTGCAGTGACTGACGACCCGTACTCAATATGCACTCTTTAAGTACCGACCCGTAATCAAATACACCCCATTTAAATTTGATCCAGAACGTTCAAGATAACATTAAATTTTATCGAGAAATGAATATTAGATCTCTGGATGTGTTTGCTCTTAGTTTCTGATTAAGATATCTGTAAGTTGAAACCTAGATGAAAAAATCCAGTTAGTCATTCCACATACTCAAAACATATAATTTTTGACATCTAGATAAGTATTTTTTTCAAATGAGGTGTTTCAAATCAGACCTACAATCACATACATAACTTACACAAAAATATTCAAGATATTTGATTGAATCGATTAGGAGCATGCAATATCTCAAAAAACATAACGCGCACGACTTAATATACAACTGGCATTAGACATTTTTAGTTATAACAGTTTTTGAATGTTATTTATCAAATTTTGTCAAATTTGATGTAACTTGAATAAAAAGAAAAGCATAGATGAAAACTGCGGTCAGTAAGTCCATGCTTAATTCTCCAACTTTTATGCTCCAAGAGACTTAGTTGAACATGTCCACATATACAAACCTACCCTGATATAAGCTGTATGTATTTAACTTATGACAATATCACTAAATTATTGTGTCGTATGGAGGCAGCGCTCCCAGAGCACCGCAAACCTAGACTCTTCACCTCCTAGCACAATTCTTGTTCAGTTTCACACATGTTTGGACATCTATTTTGCCTAAGAGTGTAACATCCTATGACGACTCTTGGTCTAACCCGGGAATTTGTCCATGAGCAAAAATCTCTTAAATGTTGCTCTAGACTTAATGTGAAATTATTTTTCACATTTCTTTTGAACTTTTGTCGGTTAGATAGTTTTTTTGTTTACTGGTTTCTCTTCAATCTTCAACTGTGAAGGGGGGCCAATTAAAACGCAAAACTGATTGTTCTGCAATACTTTTGATATGCACATTGCAGTACGCCCGTAAATTTTCTTGCTGCCGATAACACCTCTAGATACAGATGTTAATATCATTTTCCACGTTTTTCTTCACCAAAAACAAAGTTTTTATGTTATCCCACGATTTTCTTCACATCCGATAATCTAATTTACAATAGTTGTTTGTCATTACGCGTTGTTTTTGCAATTCACTTTTTCTTTCTTATTACAGTGATTACTCCACTATTTCAGTTATAGTAAAGCGCACTCACTCACTAACAGTATGAGATTGTTCGCATAGGTTGCCAAATCCTCAACTATAAATTAATAGATTAATATTCTTGGACATTTGTGAAAAAATTCGTAGAATATGAACATATATCGCGACAATATGAAGTCTTTGATGAGTTGGCATCAACTTCCGCTACAGTTTTGAGTGCCTTATCATTTCATCCCATTGGAAGACTTGTAAACACATGGAGCCAATAGAATTGTCAGAATTTGGAAATTTAATGGTAAGGGTTATGAAACCAAGGGGTTCAACCATGAAAATTGGGATAATTGCAATAATTTCTACGACTGAGGAATGTCTCTAGAAAGTGCAAAGAAAGTACAAAATCAGCAGGATTTGTTGTCTATAAAATATGGTCAGTACATTGGATGTTTTTGGATGCTAATGATGCGACGAGCTTGTATAAGCATCATGTGTAAATGAAACTAGTGTAGCTTGGATGTGTGTATTTGCATTCATGATCTCAAATTGCAACGCTATTTTGATTTTTGAAAGACCATTAAGGTATCTTAGTTGAAACTTGGATTCAATCATTCCATTGAGTCCAAATTTCTTCAATGGAATAATTGAGTCCAAGTTTACCTTCGCTGTTCACACCACTACTGACCGAATATCCTGGAAGTCTAAGATTGCTACAGGACTGTAAATCATAGTTCTTCAAATCGCCTGCTATTTCAATCATCAATTTTAGGCATTATATTCTTCATAGATACGGTGGTCAGTTTGCTGACCAGAATCAGTCTTTCGTCTTATGATTGGACAAGAGAAATCGATTGCCATAACCCTTATAAATGATACATGGCATGGCACTCGATTTGGTGTGTTATTGTAAATCATTGGCGCTTGTAGTTAGTTCAATAAGAAAGTTCTTGAAAATAAAGCTTGTCTATTTCCGGGAAAAACAATTGTCACCGTTTCTTAAAACACTATTGCACTTTGAACTCCTCGTTTTTTGCCCGGGAACCGATAAAATAATCACCTGGCAGTCGGTATAACTCCAGTTATTATGATCAAGTAAGGGGCTGCTTTAAGCTTCTGATGAAGTCTATTCAATCTTCTTAGCAACCAGGAAAGCTCCAGCAGAGCGCTGTTATATAGTGGTTCAATTTCCTGATGAGGAAAATATGCACAACTAGATTCTCAAGATTTCAGCATCGTAGTGAGACGAACTCGATACAATAATAAATAATACAATGATTTATCAATTCATTAAAAAAAAAGGTACACACCCCAATTTTTCAATGCATTAATATTATTTTTAATTTTAAAATTATTATTTACACATTGAAAATACTTCTTTTTAGCCATTCAAATCATTTTGATAATATTGCACAACCCAAATTTTGGAATATTGTGAAATCGACTATAAGTTGAATACTGTACATTACAAAGTCTGGGTTCAGCTAATCACACGTTCTTGTATGTTGATAAGATAGTTTACATAGACTGCAACCCCTTCCTCGACATAGCAAGACTTGCCAACACTCTTATTCTTTCCTTTCTATATTTCGCTTCGCTTCTCATCGTTCCCACTATCAGGTTTAGAATCATTCTCCACCTTAACTTTTCTTGCTCTCTACTGCAAGATGGCCGCTATGTATACAATTGTGTTACTGTTTTATGCGTAGAATGTACTCAGAGGAGGAAAGGGTCAAAATGTGCCGAATCGTTAAGTCTATGACAATTCAGCACAACGTGACACTGCAGCATTTGAGACGACTTGTCGTCAGAAGAGGACAAAGGCACGCTCAGCTGAAGTTGAAAACGAATTCCATCAGCTCATCTTCCTCTGAACGTCAAACGATCCCCCGAAGCGACAGGATATGGTACACACTTAGAGTGCATAATCTAAGCATTCACATTGCATGGCAAATTACTCTTTCCTTACACCCTACACATCCGTAGTCCTTTTTTGGGCCATGCAGCACAGGAGTCTAGTCTTCCACAGTTCTAAACTTTTGACAATGACCAATCAAGAGGGACGATATCACGTCCGTGTCAACTCATTTTGTCGATACATATAAATGAAAACAATATTCGAGTTGATTTGTTTGATTCGAGCTTCACATCCTTCGTTATCTTTTCGTCTTCGAAAAGTGGCAACTGCTTAAATTAGGGCTCAACAAACAATGGTGAAAATTACAGCTGACGTAAACTGGTGAAGTACAACAGGGTAATTTGGAGTCGGGGTGTAAATTGAAGCCTGAGGCTGCATGATATGTGCACAGTGTTGCACATGAGCTTGTCCTGTATGCTCATGTTACATTAAAAAAAATTAAAAAATGGGGAACACCCAATGAATAGATGAGTGAAATCATAAGGATAGATTGGGCCTAGTCTCAAAGGCATCGCCATGGGCAGTATATATGTCTTACCTCACTTCACCTGACATCTTTCTAATTATTTGGGTGAAATCATTACATACTCCATGACCATACAAAGAACCACAATCCAATAATCTGAAATGATTTCTCAACTATGGATAATAACAACTACTTTTCTTCATAGACAGACTGCCACTCGTTCAATCTAGTTTAATGAGATTGATCTCTCGCGAAGATGTCGGTGACCATAGTTGCATGGAGCTCCGAAGTGAGCCCTCTACCTACATACCCTCTAAATTTTAGCACTTGGCAACTATCGTCCACGGGAGAGGAGTACGGGTACCATCACATGTAAGATCTGACACAAATGAAAACCAGTAACATCATGGACTTTGGCCATTGCATAAAGCAATATAACCGCAAAGCATCAAGCTGTACCCAACTACTCGGCCCTGCATTGTACACGGATGTGGGACAGATTACCAAATCGTCTAAAGTTGGTCTCTCTGCATCAAAAACATGTATATCTTTATGGATAGAAAAAGTATACCGTATCCTGAACTGCGTACTGGCGAGCTGTACATACGGCACTTTTATACATATTGGCTAGATCTCCATAAAACCGAGGTCGTCGATCCCTGTAATCTACGACGTAAAAGCTCGATACCACGTACTATCGGTAGTACTTCGTACGTCTGAGCTCACGTCACGCGTAGACTTAGCGTACAGATAGAGTTCCAAGCTTCCTGACAACTGTCGACAAATCGCACATGAAATGCTTCACCTTCGGATCGAAACATGTCTCTTGGGATTTGACTGTCATGTGCGTCGGCATGCGCCTCTTGAAGTGAGGCAAAGGTGGATCGCTCAACATGGGTGAGTTAACGTAACTTTATTGATTGCCCGTACGACAGTAGTCAGTCTATATGGGACATCAATCGGGTTCATGCAACAACCCATGAACCATCGATGGTATTTTGTTGGATCCTCGTGCACAATCTTCGTCTGATGTTAATTTGAATCTGGTCTGTCTTAGAGGTCTGTCTGGTCGGTCTCATGGAGGAAGGAAGGAAATAAGCAGGGACAGTGAATGAAAGGAACAGAGCGCCAGTCTCGAATGAGGATGCCGTTGTTGCAGTTGTTGGATGCAGCTGTCATTGTGCCTCTGTCTGATGTTGTTTGGGTTTCCTGCCGGCTGGCCGTCCTGCCGGGTTGGAAGAATCCCAAGTTCGGTACATTTCCCTGCTTCAAGCCGACCAATGTCTCCTCTAAATCTCAACTCGAGTTTGTGATGAGTAGATTTCTTTCGTCGACCGTAAGCGGAAGGAACCGTGTTGCGATGGAGACCTGGCTGTTGCAGGAGAGTCCTGGTGTAGGTGGACTCGTGGGAGAGCTGGGTTGGTTGGGTTTTGTGACGAGTGAAACGAGGCCAACTAGACGCAATTTGAAGTTCAGCTGCAACTGGATACTAGGAGGACGATGAAGGTGGGATATTGTGCGACTGCACGTTTCTCTCGGGGCAATGGAATTGCTCGTGGGACTCGAGTGTTCCAGAAGTTTAACCTCTGGGGGCCTCTGACATCCGCACTGTGAAGCTGGAGACTGATTTATTCGATGTATGCGATCGAGAAAGAAACATCAATCATCCTTTCATAGATTACATGTCTCCGAGATCCTTCGACCCTCTTTGCCGTTCCCCAATTTCCGAAATGAAATGTCCAAATAGAATGAAGCTAGGAGAAGGGCGGCTGAAGAAGAATCATATGGGTATGATAATTTAAGATAAATTCAATGCAAAGTACCGTTTCATTCACCGTCGATTTCATCAGCCTTGTAACACAAGGCTGATGAAATCGACGACAGGGAAGGGATTGACCTTGTGGTGTGGAAGTGCTCGCTCCAAGATGACGAACCACACAGTACCAGTCCATAGCTCACGTTTAATCTCAGCAAAAGACTGTAAATTCTAGAAAGGATCTAGTAGCATGGGCATAGTACATGGGAAGAATCATGAGAAATAACTTTTTTTCCTAGTACCACGGCTTTCATTTTCGCTCGAAGCAATCACCAGCTCACGAGACTCTGGTTCCATTCCTTTGACCCAGATGATCATCTTTCTCTATCTAGTCCCTCGTTGACCTCACTCCGAGCTGACAACGATGTCCCAGCTGTCCGGTTTCAAACCAGATGAAAAAGGTCTGTGCATCAATCTAATTTCACTGTGGCCGGGCGGTAGAGAGACTTCCGGGTCATTTTCCTCACAATGAGCTTGTCAATTCTCGTCATCCAGAATACTGTTTCGTTTCATTACGTTTCATAGCTGCTAAATTATTGACGCTGTGACCACATCCTCCCCCTCATCTTTTCGAACAAAAATCAACCCGGAGCTTCCGGATTTCGAGGCGGAAGTCACTGGTTTTTTCCATTAAGTTCATTTAGAGTGAAATAATAAGACGAAGAGCGTTTAAGGTCCTTCGGCAAGTTTCTTCGTGCACTCGGACCTTTGAGGTTCTGACGACAGGTTTCTTGTCGCTTAGTATCACAAATCGTGGTTAACGAGATCTGCACTTCAAACGTTATGGCGAACTCGCCGTGGCCAACAATACTCGACAGTCAACAGCATGTTAAAGAGCGGTCGCGTAGTCTTCTGATTTCTGAAGCGGGAGCTCGTGAAGGAGGACATTGCAGGTGCATCAGTGCAGGGTAAGGTCAATCTTCATTTGATCCCTGTCGTAGATCGTCTGCAGATCGTCTTGTGTTCTTATTAACATTCCATGCGTCGCCCTTTTTCCTCATCGTCGGAGTAGACTGCATCTACTTACTACATCTCGATTTCACAACCGCTGTATCCGTGGATCGACATCATCCAATCTTGCACCATTCGAGATATCTTTCAAGATAACCATGATCCCAATACCAGTAGCTATCATGATTTTGCAAGCCACACACTTGTAGCTTGCTGGCTGGCTGGCTGCCCTTTTGCTGCCTGAATTCACTGCAATCCACTTCACCATCCACATCCTGATTTCACTGCAATCCACATCCGAAAGTTGATATTCGGATATTCACTACCATCGCAATTCTCTTGTTCAAAAGTAAGGATGCAAAGCCCCAAAAGCCAAAGGGCTGCTGTACTTGACATTCTACGTGCTGGTTCACTTCCTGCCTAGAAATCCATTTCTCGAACACATGATAGTACGAATGAAGCACGTTCTGTTCTTGGAGATATTGCACGTGCCGTACTTTTAGTCAAAACCGTTCAGTGATCCCGGTTTATCATCGCGATGAAAGACTGAGGGGGAATTCAAAGTCATTCATTAGATCGGTTGAAAAGCGATTGCATTATTGCATAGCACGATACTGTGCATTACATACGACTTTATGCGATGGTCTGATTCTGATTCTGCTCCAGTGAGATGAGTGCATCCATCGCTTTCTCACTACCACTCACCACTCCCTCCACGCACTCTAATGCGGATTCGCTTGGCTGAGGACGCCGACGATGTTGCAGCTTCGCGATCGAAATCCCCGATACAACGCACCGACAGGATATCACGATCTCGTCCTTGTGCATCGCGCACCGACGTGAGCACCGTAAACGTCCATTTGGCGAGCGGTCCTTGGGGCCAGTACTCGCGTACTCGAAGTACAACCGGAAGAAATCTAGCCTGAACTACGATCGCCCCATGTGAACAACGTAACCTTCCCAGAAACCCCTCGACGGCACATGGAGCAGCTCAATCCTCCTGAGCAAAGCACGAGGAGAATAATCAGGTTTCCGCTATTGTGACGCATAGAAATAGTCGGTTGTGAGGCCAGGTTCCTACAGTAGAAGTAACGTACACGCTTCGAATAAAACGAGTGGCGAGATCCAACCACATCCAAATGGAAAAGGGGGCCGGATGAATATGGAAAATGTATTTTGATGCAAAACTGTTTCAGTACCCTAGCAAGTTTTTATGCGTAGTGAGTGTATGCATTGCACCCTCACGAAAAACTTTGGGCGAAGAAGTTTTTTTCACTTTTACATACAACATTACATACTTGTAAAACGACACACCATTTAATTAAAATTCAATAAGATTAAAACAAGTAAAGAGCTAATTGGAGATTACTTTTACCCTTTAAATTAAGAATGAATAGTCTAAACTGCAGAATCTTAAGGGAATTTTCTAAATTTTTTGTTATCAAGAATATAATAAGAGCACAAAAAAATATGGAGTAATTCTGTGCGCCCAGTTATAGTATTGTGAAAATCGTGAAAACACGATAATAAGACCCCATCAAGCACCAAAGAAACCAGGAGATAGCCCCAATCCCGTGGTGATAAAAAATATATATATAAACCCCACAGTATACGCCCTATCAGATTTGTTGGAGTTAATTTAGGGTTGTGCAACAGCAAAGCAGCTACAACTCTCTAGCCACTGCAGTCAATATATTGCATATGAAATATCATGAATATATCATCTCAAGCACCACTTCAGTGACTCATTAGCAAAACGCTGATGACTCACTATCTTCCATGGCAAATAAAATCCATGACTAAAAAATTAATGAGCATTTGAGTACGATGGGGCCTAAAAGACCCTCATGTGACTCTTACTGCCATGAACTCTATCATCACAACAATCATGAAAAAATCCATGTATCCAATTTTTGCCAGCTGAGTGATGAGAATACGTTCGTGACACTTTTAGAGTGAGATATGATCAACGTTTGAGGTACAAATGAATACTATTGAACATGCCACTTGACGGTCTAGCCAGTGTTTTAAATCATCTATCATGCAAAAGATCATCCAACAAGTATAATAAATTATCCACGTGAAAAAGATCACGACATAGTCAAGAAAGTGTATCAGAACACCATTAATCACCAATAACACTACCAAAATCTTAGGTCCACATAGAGTAAAGAAGAGTTCTGCGAAAACTGAACATCATTGGTTTTCTCTTTTATACAATCAAAAGGGGAACCAATCTTTCTCTTTGATACCTTGACCTTACCCACAAGAACTAGCTAGGTCACAAGGTGATCAAAAGCAATCGTAGTCACTTAAAGGCACGACAATATGTGTGCCATCTGTCAAAGATGAAGAAACTCAACTAGATGCTCCGGAAATGGTGTCTAAAGAGCCCAATAGTGCGTCATAGCAACTAACCTCGTAAAGTATGAGCCTAGCGCACGTTAGTCGTTGATAATGGCTCGTTCTTCAGTGGTGCATGCTCCATATAATAATAATACAATAATATGATGTACTGAACGAACTCGCGAGTGGTCCTCATGTTACTCCCAGTGATAATTGAATGTGACATATGTTTGTAAAGTACACAGAAGTGTCTTAGTCATAAACTACAACCGTCAAAACTCTAAACATATGAGGAGAAAGATGATCTGAAGAAGGTACACGAAGCTAAAATTAAAAAGGTACAACAAAGGGCAAAAAGTAACTCTCTATTAGTAATGGATTGACTCTCCCAGTAGGTTGATGGGCTTGCTACGGTATCCCTACCATGGCCAATCACTTTTCTAGATTGGAATTTAAGACTCATGGTAAAACAGACTAGGCTTTGTACAATATACGAGAAATTGACGGTGCGATAGACGACTTATCTTGGAGAGGAAGAGTACTTCTATTGTTATTACTTCATAAGCTTATCTTCGCTTTTCCTAAGTTGCTGTGGCATAGTAACACATTGTTTTTAATAATGATACATTATGATGGAATCCTTATTTCAATTAGAATTAGGTAGAATAAGCTTGAAAAATTAGTATTTGAAATTTTGAAACTATATCAGCGTTATGAGCTCCCCAAAAAAATATGAATATATAGTGAAGAGAAAGGTTTATGGTTCTGTTATTTTTCCCCTCATGTTAGGACTTTGATTTCTGCAATATCTGGTGCAATGCATCAATTTCTAGTGCCAACTCAAGTTCTGGAAGCCAAATTTTGCCATGGATTTAGCATTTTGGTAGTGTCATACAGAGTTAAACCTCCCAATAGTGTCAACTCTTTTGAATGACATTCTCCCATTAGTGACATGAAAGTGTGGAACCATTAGTTTCTAACGTATAAATTTGTTCAATAAGAACCGTACGTCACTATTGACAATAGTGACATGAGAAGATTGAACAGTGACATGATGGAGCTTTAATGACTATCATAATTATCGAAAGTATCCGTTCATAACTTTTGGATTTAGAATTCTATTTTTTTTCTATGCTTCCATTGAGGTTGAATCATGATTGTAACTATATTATGAGAATATTGAATGCGCCAAATGTTAACTGCTCTTGTTATCATCTGCTAAATTTCTTTCATAAACGTCAAATATATGTCTAACAAGACAGGTCTCAAAAATACGTTGATGTTCTGATTTTATTCTCGGAGCATAAGTTAAGTAAGTGTGCTCTGAATTTCGCGATGAAACATATCTTATCGAAATTGATATCATTTTGCACATCATTTGTACAAAGGTTAATACAGGGTGGCATTAGTGCTAAATTTGATCCAAAAACTTTGCATTGAGATAGTCCGAGTCATATAAGGGACAAATTGAAAAATAAAATTTCGATTAGAATCTTGTGCTCTTCAACCAGCTCAAATTTCTAAGTTAAGTGAAAAATGGAAAAATTCAATTTTGACAATTGATATTCATGTTGATTATAACCACCATTGTAATCTAGAGAGTTTTGCAAAATTTTGCAAAATTTACCAAGAAGAATTGGTTACTAATATTTCTTAAACGAGAAAAATTGCTTCTTGATTGAGCCATGTAATTCTTTGAGTAGTAAAAAATTTCTATATACAGTAAAGTACAAAAATCTTAAAAATCTTATATAGTAGAAATTGCTGATATACAGGCAAGTACAAAAATCTTATGTATTGAAAATCTTC